ATTTGAGTAACGATATCAGCTTCCTGTAATAGCAATATTTTGTTTACTGATTCAGTGTACAAAAAAGACAGGGGTTTACTTACGAAAATTTAAACTGTCACATGAGATGTAGAGCTGAGTCATATTTGTTATGAAGATTTGTTTCACTTTAATTCAAAATGTCAAGCTCTTCAGTTCTTGTTCTATAGTGTCACTGTGAACTAATATAGTTACTCCACTACTAACAAAATACTTTTGTAAATATTTTTGTAATGTGTGTTGGATTATATAGGGAATCACATATTTACCACTCTGTATATTCCCAGTAAGGTCCTCACAAATCTGATTCCTGCATAGAATGACACTGAGCAGAAAAAGTTTTAAGTATCTCTTATGTATTTGTTATAACACTTAAGTTTGGTTTTAAGAGAGAATTTATGTGGTGAAACTAGAGGCAAGCCTCAGAAAAACCTTTTCAATGCTCATAAATCTTGAAAGAGCTCAGACTGTCTTAGCCTAGACATGGGTTGAGTTCACGCTTTATGTTAATCTAACCTGCTTTAACTAGATTTGTTGAATAGGGTACAATTGGCTCAGTTCATACATTCAGTCATAAACCATGGGTTAGAAACACACAATAGGTTCACACAACAAACGAATCAGAGCTAAACAAACTACATCATGCATGCCTACCAAAGAGTAACACTGGAAGCACAACTATTTTTGTGATATACTTTAGAATGTACTGCGGTATGTAAACCCTACATATTGTTCTATTTGAATACTACCAAATGGAGAAATATCCTATTAAAGAAGATTCATGGAAATACCATATTTTTCTATAAGATGCACTTCCCTCCCCCCCCAAAAAAGTGGGTGGAAATGTCTGTGCATCTTACAGAGCAAATGTTGCCAAAGCCCCCCCGCCTCCCCCCCTTCGGCCTCTGCCTCCCAGCAATTTGCCTCCTTGCAGCAAACAGCAAACAGCTTGGTCAGCTTCAGCACAGCCTGATTTAGCACGAGCAGCTGATTGGCAGTTGGATTGGCCTCCCGGAATACTGCTGATCAGCTGTTCCAGGCTGCGGGGATTGCTGCTGCCCTTCGCTGCTGTTGCAACCCATCGCCACCATTGCCACCCATTGCCACAACCGCCTATCGCCACCTACCGCCGCCTATCATGCACCCCATTTTTGGCCTCCACATACCCCATTTTCGGCCTCCGCACCAGTGGTGGATTGCCCCCAGTTCGCACCAGTTCTATAGAACCAGTAGTAAAACCGGCGGGAGGCTCCACCCACTGACCCCGATGTCATTGTGCAGAAGAGCACGCAGATGCACAAGCGAAGCAAGCACGCACATGCAGCCCCGCTGTGAACCGGTAGTAAAGGTAAGTAGAACCAACCCCTGTTCCGCACATCCTGTTTTTGGCCTCTGCGTGCCCCATTTTTGGCCTCCGTGCATCTCATTTTCAGACCATTCCAGGTGGCAGGGATCGCCACCACCTATCACTGCTAAACAGTGTTCCCCGCTGCCTGGAAGGGCTGAAAACAGGATGCGGGGAGGCCAAAAATGGGGTGCGCGGAGGCCGAAAATAGGGCATGCAGAGGCCAAAAATGGGACATTTGGAGGCCAAAAACAGGACATCTGAAGGCCGAAAATGGTGCGCATGGAGGCCAAAAATGGGGAGCGTGACGGTGGCACTGGGCAGCAACAGTGGCGCTGGGTGGCAGTGATCCCTTCAACCTGGAACAGCTGATTGGCAGTATTCTGGGAGGTCGATCCAACCGCCAATCAGCTGTTTGTGGTAAATCAGGCTGTGCTGAAGCTGACCAGGCTGTTTGCTGCAATTGCTGGGGGGCAGAGGCAGATTTCCCCCCCCTTGTTTTCCTCCCCAAAAGCTAGGTGTGTCTTATGGTCTGGAGCATCTTATAGTGCGAAAATTACGGTATTTCTTGTTAGGTTTGTTAATCTTTTCTCTCTACCTTCTGATACCTGCTGCTTTCCAGATGTGTTGGGTTTTTACACCCATAGGACCAAACATGTGTTACTTTTTGGGATTCTGGTTGGAATCATGGGAACTGAAGTCCAGTATAACTGGTAAACATTATGTTGGGAAAATTATTTGACTTATTCAACTTTATAATCAGTCATTGTTAATTGACTAGTGTTTGTTTGTTTGTTTAATATCTATGGCCACCCATCTCAACCAAATGACTTAAATATTTGATAAATATTTAATGTACAATAATGTACCCTTGAATATATGTCCTCAATCTAACCAAGCAAGACATGTTGATAAGTAATTCCAGAATAAAGATTTTTTATGAATTTTGGTTGTCTTCTCATAGTCATCTGAATCTTTTCAGCTGAGATATGATTGCTTTATCTATATGTCTCCATTCTCCAATGCAGTCAATGGAAGATGCATTTGAAGAAGTATTGGAAGGACTGTCTATCAGGATTGGATTAAGGTCAAATGATGCCCTTAGCATAGCTCAACAATGGTGTCCCTGAGCCCTTCTAATTGCTTAACTCATAAGACGTTAAGACTCAGTAAGTGCTGAAAACTAAAGTTTAGTGTGTTGGTGAATGAGTTAAGATCAGGATAGTTAGGGGAAGACTACTCTGTGGTGCACCCCTTCCCTTGATGCCCTAAGGACATGCTTCTTTTGCTTAATCCATGTTCTGTCATGGTTAGAACATATTTGCCTTTTTAAAGTACTGTATGATTACATAATAACTATGGCAGACTATTCATATAGTATATTACATTGTTAAATTGTGATGTTATTTGTAAAGCTTGAATTGTAATATGCCCTATCTGAAAATTAAAGTACATAGGAAATAGCTCTATACAAATTCTAAAAGAAAAAAGAAAAACAAAAGAAAAAAATAAAACAGCTAGTAACTTTCTGATGCTCATTTTCCAGTAATTAAATCCAATGATTCTCCCCATCATAATCACATTAAATTATGCAAGCTGCCCTAGATCAAATCTCTATAGGTAAGCTCGCACTACAGTATGTTAAAAGCAAAAGCAGCTGTTGATACAAGCACATCCTTTTTTAAAGTGTATTTTTTATTAAAGTTTTTAAACAAGATGGTAAAAACTAACACAAACTAAAGGACATAAGATAGGAAAAAAGAAAAAAAAAGTTGAAGAAAAAACAGAAAGTGCAAGAAAAAGAAAAAAGCTAAAGAAAAATAGAAAAAAGGGGAAAAAAGATATAAAGAAGCGGTTTTCACAGCGGTTTTCACAGCGGTTATATTTTCACAGCGGTTATAAGTACAAATATATATTGACTTCTCTGTCTAAAAATATATCATATTACTCTTCTTTCTATAATCTATCCTGTTTAATTGTCAAAACCATAAATCATCAGTTAATTTTTTTCCTTTTACGCAAAAAATCCATAAGAGGCTTCCAGTAAGTAATAAATGTAGATAATACCTTTTTTTTTCTAATTGGAGAAGCTAATTTATCAGTTTCAGCAAACATCTGCCAATTTCACCAAGTATTCCTCTATAGTAAGTAGTGTCCAATCATTCCATCTCTGTGCATACAGTAATCATATTGCTGCAATCATATATTGAAATGATATCCCAAAGCTTTTTTTTCTAACTGTTTATCTATTAATTTTAAAAGGAAAAGTTTTGGCTTCAGCTGAATTTAGATCTTTAAAAACCTGTATACATTTGGATCCATTTTTAAAAGCTTTTAAACATGTACACAATAATCGTGTGGTTTCTGATGTGATTTATTGATTTATTTATTCATCACATTTCTATACCACCTGTCTCATCTAAGAGACTTTGGTTGGCTCATAATAAAAATATGTCAAAATGTAAGAATATGAAACAGAAGAAAATTAAAAACAGAATTAAAAGATAAAGTTATGGTGTTAAGAGTTAAAAAGTTAGAGAGAACACTCCAGAAGTGGGTTTCAGCAAGTTCTGACCAGTACTGGAGAACTGGTAGCGGAAATTTTGAGTGGTTCGGAGAACCGGTAGTAAAAATTCTGACTGGCCCCGCCCATATCTATTCTCTGCCTCCCAAATCCCAGCTGATCGGGAGGAAATGTCGATTTTGCAGTAACCTTTGTCTGGATTGGGGAGGGAATGGAGATTTTACAATATCTTTCCCCTGCCATGCCCACCAAGCCACGCCCACCAAGCCACACCCACAGAACCAGTAGTAAAAAAAATTGAAACCCACCACTGGAACACTCTCGTGATAACACACATCCCCAGTGCTTAACACACTTTTAACCCCCATGCCAATTGGCAGAGCCAGTCTTTAAGTCACAAGATTTCTGCATGCATATAATTTTGATATTGGTCATTAAAGGGATTGGCAAAGACAATACCAATAAAGCAGTATTCTGAAATCCAGTGCGTCATTACCAAGTTTGAAAATGTATTTTACAGTATTGAGAAACAGGTGCAGTCCCAACTAAAATTTTCCACGTGTGGTTGGAAAATCTAGTAGGTTGCAGTCCTCCTAACTTCAGGCCCTAGATTGGGAACAAACAGGGGTGTGCCTGAGTGTCTATGTGTGCATTCTATTCTTTATAATAGGGCTGTCAACCAGTGAAAAAAAATTGCACCTTGATTTATCATGTGCCCTTTAACTAACTAATCCATCAATTAATTGATTAAATGTATTGGCATATACCCAAACCTGAAAAGTAGATGCCTTTTCAACATATTGAAGTAAATGTGAGATAATTTGTATTTTAATAAAGAAAAAAAAGGCTGCTCATTAAAAAGACAGACTATCATTTGCTCATTTCTTTTTCATTCTTGATTTGGTAACATATTGACTTTAAATTGGAAACTGGTGCGCCTTTGCTTTTCCTGATTGATGTTGAACAATCTACCTATTAAGCAAATGAAACACGGATTGCTTGTGCCTATGTATGCAGGCCCACACATACTTCTAATAGCCCTGTATGTATTATAAAATTAAGCTTTATGACTGGTAACTTATGGCTACTTACATTTTACCTCTGTTTTTACAGTGAAATGGGTGGTATATCAGACAGCTTATTAAAGAGACAAGCTTGCTGCTTTCTCAAAGTCGGATGACAGAACAAGTCAGGGTATGTATTGTAATTTCAGCGCTGCAATACATCTTGAAGCTGTCTGAGGCAAAACGCTTGCTAAGCATTGCATTGGGGCTGTCAGAATGCTTCATGGGGTAGTAATTAAATTGAAGCAATTGTACTCTTCATTTTGTGGAAGCAAGCCAAAACTATATGTAGAATAGAAATGTTTTTCCATAAACCTTGCTTGTTGTACTTGGTTTTTATTTTTTTTAAGCGAGGGAACAAAATGTCTTTCCTTGAAGGATATTTACTTCAATAGAACAGGCTGAACTTTTCACTGTTGTTCGTTCTCTTTAATTTCTTTATTTGTTAGCTATGGTTTCTTCCATAGGGACACAGTGGCTCAGTGGCTAAGACACTGAGCTTGTCGATCGAAAGGTCGGCAGTTCAGCGGTTCGAATCCCTAGTGCTGTGTAATGGGGTGAGCTCCCGTTACTTGTCCCAGCTTCTGCCAACCTAACAGTTTGAAAGCATGTAAAAAATGCAAGTAGAAAAATAGGGACCACCTTTGGTGGGAAGGTAACAGTGTTCCATATGCCTTTGGCATTTAGTCATGCCGGCCACATGACCACGGAGACATCTTCGGACAGCGCTGGCTCTTCGGCTTTAAAACGGAGATGGGCACCGCCCCCTAGAGTTGGGAACGACTAGCACATATGTGCGAGGGGAACCTTTACCTTTACCTTATGGTTTCTTCTGCTTCATATTTCCTTCCATCCTTGAAGGAAAGAGGACAGAAAGAACTTAAAATCTAATGGCTAGTATTGCCTGCTATCAGTGGACTAAAGATTTGAAAAAGCAAGTTGAGCCAGGATCTGTGTCTGCATTGGAACTGTCTCATCCCAATTAGATCAACCTGTCCCACCAGGTGAGGTGGTTATTTATTTATTTAATTTTATTTATGCACTGTCCATCTCATCTAGAGGCTAGAGTATATATTGTGATTCTGTTAGTCAAAGAATTTCAACTGACAGGATTTAGGAAAAAAAATCTTCTCTGCTATTGCCCCCCACCCTATGGAACATCTTATCCAAGAGGTGAAACCATCCCCCACTCTTCTGGCTTTCTGGAAGAATTTCAAGGTTGGCTCTGTCAATTGGCATGAAGGTCTAAGAATGATACGCAAACTGGGGGCAGTTGGAGACTTGAGGATGCCCCTGCTACCTCTTTTAACTTTTTTATACATCTTCATTTTATCCTTGTTTTAACTATGCTTTCTGTATACTATATACTACTATGTTTTTATTATAAACTGCCCACAGTCACTTAGAGATGAGCGGTGTAAAAATTTGATAAATAAATAAATAACATCTGAAATAATCTTTAAGACTTATTAATTTTTATGACGACACATAAATAACACTACTGATGAAAGGTATTTGAATGTTCACTCTGAAGCTGGCCCTTTGAGTCTGACACTATTTTTCTTGGGAAGTCTCAGGCTAATACAGCTGTAATAGGCAATTACAAATGTGTAGTTTGAAGGGACATAAGTTTTGAAAACCTGATGGTAGAATACTACATCTAGAGTTACTATTGGTTTTGATGCCAAAGCGATTAGGAAGGTTTACTGTACTTAATGCAAAATGCTTGTCAGAGAAATGGTTTAGTAGCTTTATAGCATATTCATCGAGTTCTAGTTTTTGTAACTGTTTCATTTTTAAATATATCATGTAATTGCCCCAAGTGAAGGTTTGCTGAACATGTATGTAATGTGTATGTGGAATCAAGTTGACCAGTTAAATCTTTATTTCCTCTAACACAAAATTACCAAATATGAATGGAGCACTTCTCCTTTAAGCATGCCCACCATCTATTTAATAGTGAAATGGAAGTGTGTTGCTGTATATTTACTTAAAAATAGTTCTTTAAATAAACTTTATTTTACTGTTTGTAAGTACAGTTGAAGCAAAATCTATCTTATCTACATCTTGATAAATCTTGTATTTAACCTGATTTCACACACCTAATTTCAGTATATTTATCACTATATGGGGACGTAAACAAAATAGTTAAGATTATGACTTGAAATGTCTTTTAAATATGTTATTTGGAAGAAAATGTGAAAGATTTTTGGAGGGGAACATTGAAAAATTGTAAAAATGAGAAAAGTATATATTTATGCTCTTGGCAGCCAAATGTGCCTTTTAATGGAATTTAGATAAATGGATTTTTTATGACAAAAAGCAACAGTAAAAGTCATGATTATATTTTTCATAGTTCATTTGTCTTCTTTGCCCTGCAGATCTAGTGTGGAAGGAAAATGAGATCCCTAGTGAAGTCTACATTGTGATTGACTCTAAAGATTCTGAGACCAATTGTTGCTTAATGGCCCTTATTGGCCTATGCAATAAAAAGTGATATGATCTTTAAAAAAACCCAGGTTCTTAAAAATGGTAAGAAATGTAATTTTTGTTATATATTAATTCTTCAATGCTGTGTTCTGACATCATCAACATTGCCTAAAAGTGTTATGGTAGACAATTAGATTGCATAAATAATGTGCTTGGTTCTCATGAATGTCCAGAAGAAATAGTCATTATGATGAAAAAAATGAAGATCATAATGATTTCATTATCTGAACTGGCACAGAATAATAATCAGTGTCTTGTGGTTTAAGGCAGGATGCCTATGGAGAGTCTCAGTCATGCAGGTCCCAAAGGTGCTCTTTTCAAGAGGCAACTGGACTTTCTGGTTTTTCTTTCATCCGAGAAGCTTCTTCAGCTCTGACTGGATGGTAGGGAATGGAAGGATTTATACTCCTTGCAGACAGCTGGTCATTTACATTCTTTAGAGAGTCATTGAGGCCACCTGGATGTTCATCTGTGTCATTGGGATCACAGGCAGGATATTTGCCTGACCAGAACATCAGAATATATGAGATGGACCTCTAGACTATGATGCCTATCAATATATCTACTCCACCCAAATTTATGGGTATTTAGGGTTTGTTTGCTTTTTTAAATCTAAAACATGACAACGTGTTTAAAAAGTTTGGGACTTGAAATTAACTAAGTGCTCAAAGACATATTTGTTGATGTTCACCAAACTTGCTTATTCCAATCAATCAGAATATAGTTGGAAGGGACCTTGGATGTCTTCTAGTCCAACCTCCTGCTCAAGCAGGAGACCCTACACCATTTCACATAGGTGGTTGTCCAGTTTTTCTTAAAAAACCTTCAGTGACAAACCCCTACAACTTCTGACAGCATGCTGTTCCACTGGTTAATTGTCCTCACTGTTAGGAAATTTCTCCTTAATTCTAGGTTGCTTCTCTCCTTGATTAGTTTTCATCCCTTGTTTTTTGTCTTTTTGTCTTCTTCTGGTGCTTTGGAAAATAACTTGACCTCCTTTTCTTTGTGGCAGCCCCTCAAATACTGGAATACTGCTATCATGTCACTTCTAGTCCTTCCTTTCTCTAGACTGGCTACACCCAGTTCCTTTTTTTTTTTTTTGTCTCCATGTCTTCTAATTCCATCTAATTTTATTTTTATAAAATTATGTTTAATTAAAACATTGAATGAAAAGAAAAGCACTTTCTTGCAGTATACCATGACCTGTTTTCTGAAAATCAAGGAGTGGGTTGCTGTTGTTCACTACTTTTTGGAATATATGCCTAGTTACCAATAGGGTCTTTCTTGAGGTCCCACTTGAGACACTCTATAGTGCTACAGTTCAACGTTACCAATGTAAATAGATATTTTGTACTTTACCACTGTGTCAGTATTGCAAGCATTTCTGAGGGTGCTGGAGATCCCTGTTTTAGAATATTTATTAACAACTTGTCACAAAATAGTGACACATGAACTTTTGAATTAAAGCAAAGGAATGATAGTAAGTATACATGCATGTGCAAGTGGCCCTTATACTAGCAATAGATGGTGACACATATTATCTGTCTCTTTGGGGTGAAATCCTCCAAAATTATTGAGATGACTCAGAAGCAGTCAGGCATTATTTCTTTGGCATATTAGATCTCTAATATATTGCAGAGCCAAAAATGTAACTTGGAGAAGATAGTCCAAAGCTTTGGATTCAGCACAATACTTTTCTAATCCACATTTTCATGACATTGGTAAAAGTTCAAGTGGTGAAAAAAAGAGTACTGAGTCAATGTCTGGATCTCAACAGAGTCTTTAGTAAGGCCTAGTATTTGTCACATCTTGTATTGTCTGTTTCATGCCTTATTTACTCATCTATTACAAACTCGGTGAAAAGCCATGGGGAATTTTAGTAGGAGCACTTTATTTCATATATGCTGTGTTGAGAAAGAGGTCAGAGTGGATAAGGCAATAATATCTCCCTATTTCATATTTTAAAGGTTTTCCACAGTCAAAAAAAAAAAAAACCTGTAACCTTTCTCTAACTTGTTCTTTCCTGAAGGTGTCTTTTGGACCCAAACTATGATGACTTAGTGAAATGTCACATAAAAAGGTACATGAAGATTTAATTAGAAGATATTGTTTTATGGAGGATTTGATCATTGGCCACTTAAAATTTCTTTGGCCCTTCAAGCAAGATATACGTTGACATGAAATATTTTCATTTAAAGGTCTACAGTAAAAGTGATGTGTTGTTCTGTCACTTCCTGTCAGCATGTTGAGTATTTGTAAGCATCCCGTACTTTGCATGTGGGTTTTATAGGTACAGTTCTTCATATTGTATTTTGGTCTGCATTATTATGAATCATAATGTTTCTGTTGTATAACTATTTTTTAGTCAAAGTGAAAATTGATTTGTTTAATTTGGCTGATATTTCACATCTTTAGTTCCATGCCACTAGCTATCATATTTTTTATCAGTGGAAATCCTTATTTTCAAAAGCGGATATTCACAATGGAACGAAACCTCATTTTTGCACTTCTGGGGTATGTGTAGGTGCAGGGTAAGTGTGCTTAATTAATTAGAAAATTATATTCTTAAATAGGAAACATATCTAATAAGATTCAATGGAATTTATTTTTAGTACTTGACAGATCAGCCAAGAAAGCTTTGGAAAATATATTTAAATACCATGATGTTTCTGTACCTGCAAAAATCAGAACTGATCAAGTGATGGTGTTTCTGTGGCACACTGTAAAAGTGAAAGTTATCTTTGAAGAAGCAGGATAGGAAGAATATTGAGGCATCAAACTTTGTTAATGGAGAAGATTCATGGAAACACCATGGATAGCTAAAAAATGTTACAAGTTAATCATCAAATAAATCAACCCAAGGTTTTTCACAAAACGCAAATGACCAGATTCAAAGTATCCCACTTTGCATACATTACACAACCTAGCTTCCTACAGAAGGCTCTACTTCTGGGAAATATGGAAGGAAGAGGAAGAAGGGGGCAATTGTAGCAGGTTGCTGAATCAGTTACACAGCGACGGGTGTGCTGTTGGAAGTCCTGAAAGACCAGGTTAGGAACTGATAGTCATGGATGATCCATAATCTTTTTCCTTACTTCAAACTTGTACATTTGAATAGCTGTACTCAAGAGGAATATATGATCAATGCCAGTAGTGTGAAATTGACCTAAGAATAAAATGATACTTGTATCTAGGTACTTTAAAAATGTTTGCTACATAGAATATTTTATATATCTTGAATCCAAGTTGTGCATAACGCTCTTTTATTTGGCAACACATCCCACATAAAAGTGCATGCGCAACCAAATTTATTTTGATATTCAAGAAGAAGTCAAGGTTAATATAAAAAGTTAGAAACTCTGCTTCCCAAACATAACTGGGGTCTCTTCAGATGTTAGTTGAATGGGTTAAGGTTTGTCAATCTTTGAAGATAGACCTTGCATTTCTTTGATTACCAATATTCATCAACGAAGTTTAAAAATGATCTACCTGATTAGTGAAAAGAACTGTATTCACAATTTCCATCCATACAAGCAAATACAACTGTTCTTCAGTCTATTAGTTCAACGCATAGATGTTTGGCCAGCCTTATCCTGTTCCCATTTTTAAGCGCTCATACATTCAGGCAAACACCTGAAAAAAAGTTTGACTCTCTCTGCTTAAACTTGGAGAGTTTAAGTGGCGACTGTATCACAGAAAATCTGATGGGTCTTAGTTAACTAAACTGTAATGGTTGAACGGTCAAAGTTACATAATGTGAAATTTCCTTAAAATAAGTGTACCAGCTCCAAATTGTTAGCAAAGCATTTGTGAGGGTTAACATGTCCTCTGGAGTCAATTCACTGACAAATATGATTACTCTTCCATTCACAGGAGTTTTTAAAAGGAGAAAATATTTAGTATGCATTGATTTTATTATCCATGGGTATTTTTTTTTAACTGCAGCTAAGTTGTTATTTGTTAATCTTTACTGTGATTGGACTGCAACCTGGTGGTGGGCACATTATAAATGAAATATTTGTTTCTCCCTTCCTTCTTCCCTCCCTCCCTCCCCCTGCCCTCCCATTCCCTTCCCCTCCCCTTCCCCTGGCCTTCAACAGCTCTTAGGGCAATGAACAAAGAAAAATTAATATAGAGATGAAACATTTTTAAAAACCCATGCAATAAAACAAACAAACAAAAAAGCAGATAAACAATGTTAAAAGACTTGACAGGTCTTTCTTTATCTGGAGTTTGAAATGGGGTGGTGATGAGGGTAGTCATCCATTAATAAGGTTGTAGAGCAAGATCTTGGAAGATGATGATAAAACTTGAATTGAAAAATTCAGCAAGAGATAGCCATATAGTTACATGTCCCAAGCTGCAAAACATTTTACAGTTTTGTCCAGAACAGAATAGGGATCCCATGCAATAACGTTTGATGAAATAAAAATAAGATTGAAAGTTAAACCAAGATGACAATGACATCTATAGGTTAATTTTAGGGAGAACATTATAAAGTAAATGTGCAACATTTATACTAAGTTCCTTGCTTCTGATTTTTTTTCTTTCCTCATAACTTTAGGAAAGTATTTTTCTTCAAAATTCCTTTTACTTATTATGCTTCATTTTATGGCTTTTATTGGCTATAGGTTTGCTACTAAGGTTGATATATTGCAATATAGTTTTTATTTGTTAATTTAATTTGTTGTACCTCTATATGACAGTAATATTTTAAAGTGATTTCTTAGTAACTAATGTTAATTTCTTCATAAGTACTCCTGTATCTAATATTAATGGGAGTGCATTTCTTCAGCTTTGGCATATTCGGGGCATTTTGTTCTATTTGCCATAGGTCATGTGAGATATGATATATTTTTGTAATTTTGTCTGAAATTTTGATGGATTTTATGAAATGTAACAATTAATATGGAAGAAGATTCTTTTGAAAAACAATTTAGCAGCATGATGTAAGTATTTTCATATGGGAATATTAATAGGAAAGAAAAATGGCATGGATATATAAAAAATTGAACTAGGTTCCAAGCTAATTAGATATTTGTGAATATTGCAATGGATATTATAAAAGATAAAGCCCAATGTTTTGCAAATAAAAATAAAATGCATATCGAAAATTATTTCTCAGTCTTCTTCCTGGAATGATAGAGACAAAAAGCATAGATTAGCTTTTACAAAGCCTCATTATAATGGAAATCAGAAATTCTTATAAAATCAGTATTCTTTAAAGTCAATACTCATATTTTATATAAAGTTTCCATGCTGGCTCTAGAATTTTGGGAGTTAAGTCCATATGTCTTAAAATTTTCAAGGTTGGGAAACATTGGTCTCCATTGTACACCATAGCTCTGGATTAAAAAATGTTTTTTTAAAAAATAACAAACAGCAAGGTTTCCAAAATGTATGTTTAAATTATTCATCCCAAAATATTATAGATTTTGAACTGTAAATTTGTCTGCTGTTGGAGAGGCATGAAACATTGGTTTCTAATCCTGCCTTATGAAACTCAAGGCATTTTCATGCTGTTCATAGCTATAACATATTGTCCTAGAGATAGCCATAAATGTTAAAAGTGGTTGAAAATCAATTGTAAAATTTCTTTCCAAAGTGAAGATCCCACATTTTTAATTTGACATTGAACTTTCTGTTTTGGAAATAATCACAAAGTGATAGATATAATTTTATATCGTTCTGTTACTTTGAGCCAATGATTCCAGATGTTTGAGGCTGCAACTATAGTCATTCTCAATAATCCTCACATCCAGCTGGAGTTGATTTAGACCAGAGGTATAAGCAGAGTTTTTGGAACATTTTTTTTCTCCACAGAAACATAATTTGGCAAATTTAAAAAGCAACAGAACATGATTGGTGAAACTCCAGGCTGAATATATTGACTGTATTTTTTTCAAGGGCACACAGACAACAGTTCTCAAAATAAAGTGGACTGCTCAGGTTAGATAAACTAACAATGATGAACTGCAAAACTGCCCTGTGCTTTCCCCTTGTCGTTGGACTTCTTGAGTTGAAGACATTTTATCATTTATTTATCATTTGTGGTGCTGCCTCCAGTGCAAAGGAACATGTAATTTTTGATGGCGTCAAAGTTGAACTGGTGTTAGCGTGGGGCTAGGAGTATGCTCTGAATATCATTTGTCAGTATTTCTGACATAATTTAATTTCTGCAAGTGCATGTCCTCCTATGGTAATTTATGCATTCTGAAATAAATCCCAAGTGTTGAAATCAAACTTGTACCTAAAGTGTATTGGAATTTTCATTGTCTCTATTGTCCACCATCTCCCTAAGTCACAAAATTGGATAAAAGGTAATTGTTGTAACAATAAAACAGTATTTATACATTACATTTTTCAGTTGCATTTACTTTACAGATTGGAAAGCTCTGAACAGGAACAGAACACAGAATGAAAATAATGATAATTTCCATCTCCAGTATAATGCAGGACTATGAGTTAGGCTTCCCTGCACCCATCTTCTGTAATATAAGATTATTTAGGAGAAACGTAACTGAACTAGTATTAATATGATTAGAGGACCTACCCTTACAGTCTATTTTCTCTTATTTTCATTTTGTTTCATTGTAAAACATGTTTTAGACAATTACTATTTACCAGAGATTTCATGCAGAGGAAAAAAATAGTAGTGTTCAACCTGAATGTTAAAATATATTCTATGTTCTGAAGCAGATAGAAATATCATTTAAATTGTCCTCTTCACATAAAACTACAGCAGAGAAAATCACTTAGCAAATAAACACTCTGATCAGTTATAGATTGGAAGCTTATAAATAGGTTTCGGTCTATAAATATGTGCATGTTGCTGTGAGATGAATGGCAAACAAATTTAGTAATAAAAATGTGAGTGTGTATGCACCTTTAAATCAGCATTAACTCCTAGCGATTGCCTAGACATATCCCAACAGTTTTCCTGGCAACGTTTTCAGAAGTGTTTTGCTTCCTAGGGCTGCGAGAGAGTGACTGTGTTAAGGACACCGAGCTGGTTTTCACGATCTCCTGGTTTCTAGCCTGTTGCCTTAACCATTACATATAAGCTCTATATACTTATCATCTCCTATAAAATCAATTTCCTACCAAATTCATTCCCTTGATCAAATTGTATAATGCTTTGTTTCAGTCTTAAGAACAATCCCCTTTGTAATAACAATGGATTTTTATTTCCCATGCTCTGAGCACCAGCATATTAACACCAATATTTTTAATTATTATACTTTACAAAAAGTCCCCAGTGATCTTACTTCCTCTTACAAAACAAATCATACCCTGGAGGTTTTTTAAGAAGAAATCAGACAGCCATTTATCTAGAATGGTATAGGACCGTGTTGGCAAACCTATGGCACGCGTGCCACAGGTGGCATGTGGAGCCACACGCAAGTATTGCCCTAGCTCAGCTCCAGTGTGCATGCGTACGCTGGCCAGCTGATTTTCAGGCCTTGTGAGCCCACCGGAAATTAGGAAACGGGCCGTTTCCAGCCTCCAGAGGGCTACCGGAAGGCCTCAGGGGTGGGGGGGTGGGGAAGGTCGTTTTCACCCTCCTCAGGTTCCAAGAAAGCCTCTGGAGCCTGGGGAGGGTGAAAAATGAGCCTACCGGGCCCACCGGTAACCTTTTTGCCATCGCGTGCCAAAAGCGGGGGGAGTGCAGGGAGCCGCGTGTGCATGTGCGGGGGGCAGGATGTGGGGGGCATTGAATTATGGGTGTGGGCACGCGTGACCACAACCCACACCACACTTCCCCGGCTTTTGGCACATGATGGCAAAAAGATTAGCCATCACTGGTATAGGATCTCCTTTTCGAACAGCAGTTTGGACTAGAAGATCTCCAAGGTCCCTTCCACTTCTGTTATACTAATAATGCCCAAACTGTCTCCAGATATGAAGGAAGGATTTGTTTGTGCCCTTTAAGATAAGGAAGGAATGGGTGAAATGCTAAGGAGCAACTTTTCGAAAAGATTAATCAGTCCTGAGATTGAGAAGGCCATAAGAAAGAAATCCCAAAAAATCCCACTTTGCTCTTGTTTGATATAAGATCGGTCAGGTTTTAAGACTCTTATTACTTTACCCTACAACAATAAAAAGCATTCCCGCCATGCCAATTTCTTGGCCCTGCTTATTTTGAAAGACTGATAACAATCGTGAAAATGAGCTCAAAATGTTTGGGAGTTCTTAAAACAGAAGAAATTAAAAACAATTATATTAATAAAAAATGAAATAAAGTACAAATGAATATGAATACCCCAAAGTAATGGAAATCTGAAATTTAGGGGAAAAAAGGCAATTGAAAGAGAAATACATATGGGCAGCTGGATTTGTTGAGATGATGTTGGAAAAGCTAAAGCTCGGAATAAATTGAGATGGCCAAAAGATGCTAAGAATAAAAAGAGCTTCTTCATATAAATTGAAAATAGAAGAGAAATAGAGTTAACTGTTCAGCAAAGATGGCAAAAGATTAGTAAGGAAGAAATAACAGGCAGAAATATTCAATTTATATTTAGACTCAATCTTATCCAAAATAAATCCATACATTTTGCCAAGTAATTGTGGCACGCAGTTTGAAGGAACAGGATTCAAATCTGAGTTTGACAGAAAACATGGTTAGGGAATACTTACTAACTTTGAAGATATTTTAGGGATTGTTGATGGTCTGGCCAAGTTTCAAGAAGAAATCCTGACAAGTGACATATTAGAAGACAGAGTAAAAGGGAACATAAGTATGCTTTCTAAAAGGAGAAAAATGAAAATCTGAGAAACTACAGACCTATCGGTATGATATTTGTATTTAAAATATTCTCAGATAAATCATAAAATGGTTGATAGTACTGATTATTAGAAGTAAATAAGAATGTGTAAAGACCAAGTCTTGCTACAGTAATCCCATTTCATTTTTTAAATTGAATAACTTCCTCAGCTGATTGAGGAAATGCTGTAAATGTAATATATATTGATCTGAGCTAAACATTTGACAAAGTGCCCCGTGACATTCTAATTAACAAGATAGTTAAAATATGAGCTGGATGGCATGTCTAGTAGACAATCCACAGCTGGTTTGAAAACTGAACTCATAAAATTCTCACCAATGGTTTCTTATTCATGCAGAGTGACATATCAAGTGAGGTTCAGCACAAGACAAGATACTTTTCAACAATTAAAAATATTTCATATTTGTAGATGATGTAAATGGATGAATGGAATAAATAATACCCCAGAAGACAGAATCAAACTTTCCTGTCTTCTATTGTTCTGTGTACAGAACACAGAATAATGGTCTTAAGGGATACGAAAGCTGATATAAGTTGAATGCTAGGAAAAACCAGGTAACATTTGTTATCACGAACCTTCTTTTTTGGGAAGTTTTCAGCCCCAGGTCAGTAATTTGGTGAATTCTTTAGCTTGGAGTTAGATATAGAGCAGGGGTTGGACTCAGTGGCCTAAATGTCCTCTTCTACCTCTCTTACTCTGTGAATGAAAGATGTCCAGTGAAAGCATAGCTGGCTGACTGGGTTCAACTCTAGAGCTGCAAAGGTTATGAGACCATATTATAGGTGCCAGATGCTGAAAGTTTCAGCAGAAAAAAAGGAGGGGGCTACTTGTAGGGGAGACAACACAGGGTTTCCAAACATGGCAACTTGAAGACTTGCAGACTTCAACTTCCAGAATTCTCCAGCCATCCATGGGTGTTGAAGTCCACAAGTCTTGAAGTTGCCAAGTTTGGAGACCCATGCTTTAACCTAAGCAGTTTGTGGATATTGCTAGTGTCAAGAGCCCTGATTTAAGGTTTATTTGTGTTCTTTCACTTCAAAGCATCAATCATAATAGAGCTGGAAGGGACCTTGGGAGTCTTCTAGTCCAACCCCCTGCCCAAGCACTCCAGACAAGTGACTATCCAATCTCTTCTTAAAAGCCTCCAGTGTTGAAGCACCTACATCTTCTGTTCCACTGGTTAATTGTTCTTACTGTTAGGAAATTTCTCCTTAATTCCAGGTTCTTTCTCTCTTTGATCAGTTTCCATTATTTCTTGTCTTGCCTTCTGGTGCAGAGTCAGCTGAAAATCCAATGGAAGGTTTAGTGTGGCTAATGGCTGCAATGCTGCCTTTTTAAGTTAACTTGCCTATGCAGGAAAAAAGTACAAAATCAGCCTCATGCCCAGCTGAGCCGCACAATCATCAGTGGCTTTTTCTTTTAATTTTTAAAAGCATTTTTTCTATAACCTCTTCGGCTGAAAAAATGCTTTTAAAAGTAAAAAAAAAAAAGCCTCTGATGATCGCATGGCTCAGCTGGGATCGTCAAAGGGATCATCAGCTGATGATCCCAGCTGAGTTGCCTGATTGGCAGAGGTTTTTTTTCTTTTAAATGCCTCTGATGATCCAAGCTGAATTGCCTGGTCGGCAGAGGTTTTTTTTTCTTTTAAATGCCTCTGATGATCCAAGCTGACTTGCCTAATCAGCAGAGGCTTTTTTTCTTTTAAATGCCTCTGACGATCCAAGCTGAGTTTCCTGATCGGCATAGGCTTTTAAAAGAAAAAAAGCTTCTGCTGATCAGGCAACTCAGCTGGGATCGTCAGAGGCATTTAAAAGAAAAAAAGCTTCTGCTGATCAGGCAACTCAGCTGGGATCGTCAGAGCCTTTTGAAAGCATTTTTTTACAACCTCTTCGCCGAAGAGGTTGTAGAAAAAATGGTTTTAAAAGAAAAAAAAATGGCCACGCCCACCCAGTCACATTACCCCCCCCACCAAGCCACACCCACAGAACCAGTAGTAACAAATTTTAGATTTCACCACTGACATATATATATATATGTACAGTTAATATTTCGGGTTTCTTCCCGTGTAATTGTGAACATATCCCTAAAAGTATATATGTATACTGTTACTGCAGTGTGTTTAATAAATATGAGTATATACACACACATCAATATTCATATTTTGTATTTGTGTAACACTTTTCATAAAATATGTCAAAAGAGTATAAACAAATTGCCTAGATTCTGAAGTAAGAAGCTGTGTTCACCTACAATGAGAGTGAATATATTTTATTCTCTAGATGTTCTAATTATTTAGTACATTAATGGTGATGGAAAAATTCTGGGAGAACCTTTGAAAGGCCCTTTTGAAGCCTTCTAATCTTCAGGTTCCAATATCAGAGAACAGGAGTGGAATTCGACTAGTTCAGACTGGATCGCACATACCGGTAGCGATGATTTGAAGTGGTTCACCGAACCGATAAAAACCACTCCTGGTGGGCCCTGCCCATTTCTGCCCGCTCGCCGCTCACCCCTTCCACTCTGTGTGTATGTCCGAGAAGGAGGAGAAGACTTGGCCAAACTTTTCTTCC